CACCCTCACTTCATTTACTAAATACTATACTTTTCCAACTACTGTCAGCCTTTTTCTCTTCTGCACTCTCCATCAACATATATGTATGCACCCCCATTCAGAGAGGTTCAAAAGTGAGCAAGATACCCAAGTCAATCTTCTTCCCTCCACAGCTGTTGGGAAAGGGAAAGGGACAGTGATGGAATTCCAGTGTGTGCTATCTCTCTAGCCTGTATAGGAGCTTCATGTTTTGTGTCAATAGCTTTCAGATATCTAAAATTTGCAACCTGCCACCCACCTTGCGTACTTGGTAGCTGAAAAGAGAAGGAACATTTACCTTCTCTTTTTCCTCTCCTATTCCACAGCTTCCTGGATGCTGCATGGGTGAGGAAATATCCCTGCTATTCAGCCCCTGATTCAACCTTCATTTTTGAGTTCTGTTTTCTAGCAAAGAATTCCAGTGCTTGTTACCTGCCACTGCTCGGATCTTTGTTAAACAGCAATAGCATAAAGTTTACTTAATATTTGTTGGCATCTCTGTTGTGAAAAGGTTGTAAAAGCTTCCTGTTCACCCTGCTTGAGTGTGCAGGCAAATTTTTAAAATACTTGCTGCTTTTGATAGATGACCTTGGCTCCCAACTACACAAAATGCATTTTTGGTTGTATGGTTATAACACCTGTTAAATTCTCATATTACCCATGCAGTAGAATTTACTTAATTGGCACTCTGATAAACATCAGACTTTCTTAATGGGGTTGATTACTGGGGAGCACATGTAGTTCAGTGACTTGGAGCAGTATGTGCCAGTTACATTTCTGGTGGTGTTTGCACACTTACTTATAACAGCTATCACACACTAACTCAAACTTATTAATTTCCTGCTCCACTGATATTTTTTGATGCTTTACTACTCTCTTACAGCTTCTAGAAGAGTAAGGCTTAATCTTGATATAATTAGCTAATAGTATAACACATAATGTAGTGGGTTATTTTAAAGTGGTTATTGAAATAAGGAGTTCTTTTCCAATGTAAAATGTTCTGCAGCTTCTCAGAATTGATAGTTTGTTTAATTTGCATGCTTGTTTTTTCCGCCAGTTTAAACATTTATAAGATTACGTTTTTATTAGGGGAACGTAAATAGAATATCAAAGGAATCCTTTGCCAAATAAAGGCTCTGTGAATGAGATATGGGTGTTAAAATTAAAGCATAAGGATATTTGACTGGTAAGTGCGAACCTCTAATGCAGGGGTAGGCAACCCCTAGCATGTGTGCCAAGAAGGCATTTTGTTTGGCATGGATGGCTGGGAAGGTGTCAGGGCTGCGCTGCCACAAGGATCAGGCCTCTCACAGCTCCCCTACCATCAGCCCCAAGGCACTCGTCACCCACCACCAGCAATGAGCCAAGCCAAGGCTCCACAGACCTCAGTACAGCTTCTTGCAACTTCTCTGCTGTGAATAGCCCAGCCTCTGTGGTGGGTGGCAGGTGCCTGCCCAGAGCCCAGGCCAGCTGTGGCAGGAGGTTGAGAGGTGCTACACCAAAGTTTGCTGAGCCCTGACCTGCCTTGTTGCTGGTAGCAGTTGCACATGCACCTCAGGGCGGATGGTGGGGAAGGGGTTGGTGCTGCTCTGCCACAACAAGGTTTGGGCCCCTTGCAGCTCCCCCACCATCTGCCCCTGGTGCACCAACATCTTACAAGTTAAGGTTAGGGTGTTTTTGGCACTGGCCAAAAATGATGTCAACCCCTCCCTCTAGTTTATGACTAGTGCATGCAGCTAGTTTACCCTTTCTGTTACAGACTGAAATGCTGCTATACTTGGGTGACTGTAAATGCAGATGTTGTTAATTTAGATCATTTGACTCTCATGCTGGTATTACAATTAAAGTTTTTCAGGAAGTAGTAAGAGGCATGGTGTACTTTTTTCCTGCTTTATGCTAATAATGTGAAAGATTTTTTTTTTAAACATGCACACTGAACTAGTACCACAGTGGAGATTTTTTTTGATAGTGAGTCTTGCATATTTTGCACGAAACAAATAGTCTATAAATTGTATCATTCTGATTTCTAACCAGAGACAAATACTAAGGCTACTAGAAGTGTGACAGCTTCATTGATGAGTTCCAAAAGGAGGATCAGTTGAATCTGTATACTCATAAAATGGAAAGATTTGCACTTTTCTAGCCTCTTTTAGTTGTCGTGTTTTCCTTCTGCTTTCCGTAGGACTATACTCCCAACTAAAACTTCAGAGAATCCTAAATGACTCCAAAAGATGTTTCATCACATTTCAGCAAATGTGTGTTTAGTAAATGATCCTATATTTTAAGGTTAGTCAGAGGAAAGGTAGGCTGATATCAAAGAAGTAGTAAGCTGCCATTTTTGCTCTGTTTTTGTCTAATTGATACAACTCTGTTCCAACATTGTTTGTATATGACAATTGAATTCAAGCCCACCATTGGGGCATGAAGAATAGTAAAGCAAATGGCTTTCTTCATGGCCTCCTACTTTTTTATTAACCCAAAAAGCAAATGTCCAGAGGTTCCATTAAACTCATGTTTCCTGTGAACAGATTAGTAGTGGTGTTAACATTGTCATTAGATGGGTAGTAAAATATACGATATATTCAGGTTGACATTTTTTTTAAAGTGCATGATAAAATTTGATTCTCTTTTTTTTGTTTTGTTTTGTTTTGTTTTTCCCTCCCCATAGCTGTGTGGAGTTTGACTTGAATGTAAACAATGTTGTAGGAATAAGAAATACATTCCTTCTCAGAACCTATGCATACAGTAAGTTGTCCTTATTTTTATTTTTCCCAGAGAATGTTCTCTTATTTGAAAGTAGCATTTCAGTCTTGATAGAAACTTCTGTAATAAACGCATTAGAATCTAATTCTATTGAGATGTTATCTCTTTTAATCTTTAATACTAAGGTAACTGTAATACTTCTTGTTACCCACAGATCTTAACAGATCAAGCTTATGGGTAGAACTAATGTTTAATGTAACTAGTCAGTACTTCTGTAACTTGCAAAAGTTTCAAGTGCCACAGTTTTAATTCTTCTGTTATGTTAAAGTCCACAGGTCCATTTCAATGGTTACTTCAGCCTGCTTGCTGTGTGAAGGGCAGAACTAGGTCTGTTGGGCACTGGTAGAAAGTGGGAGCACTTCATTTCTTGATAGCTGTGTCCTTCCCTCCAATCTGCCCTTTTTCTCTTCCCGCATGGCAGCTGGGGTGTCGCACAGACCTTACTGCTGCATCTTTGTTTTGGGTTTGTTTGTTTGGGGGTTTTGTGGGGGGGGGTTCCAATTTGTTTCAAGTTTTAGACTAACGTTTTGGTTCACTGAAGTTTGTCTAATTCCCAGTCGCATCCTAGGGTTGTAGTTGGGGAGATTTGGCTCTTCAGCTCCATTTCCCCTGCTAGGGCAATTGGAGCAGCTGGCATCCTTACAGGCTTCAGGAAGAGTTAAACTGAGAAAAGCCAGAGGCAAAAGAAAGCTTCTGTAAGTATTTTGGCCTCTGTTCTTGAGTCTGAATAGCTCTGGGTAGAATGCCATCTCTAGTTGGAACCAGGATTATGAGGGGCAGACTCCCATTAAAGAAATAATAAAATCAGAGCTCATCCTTGCTCACCTTCAGAGAATGCAGCAGAGAGGATAATTCGCAGTGCTTGGTTTTGGTATTTATCTCCACAAAATGCAAAATGTACCTTGGCAAATGAATGTGGAAAGACCAGACCATAGACGCACCCTAATTCAGGTGTCAGCCAACCCAGCACCCATGCCAGAACATGGCATGCAAGGCCATTTTGCTTAGCATGCCACAGCTGGCTCAGGTTCTGGGTAGCTGCCACCGGCCACGGATCCCAGGCTGCTTGCAGACTTGAATTGAAGACTTGGTGCACTACTCCTGTGGATAACAGCCTTGTTCTGGTAGCAACAGTTAGCTTGTTTAATGTGATTTTCACAGTAACTGTGAAGAACATAGTTGATCCTACCACAAAGAAAATTTCTCTTGTCCTAAGGGAAGGAAAGATTTTTTTTTTTGCTTTTTTCCTCTCTAATGTACGCTGCCCATCTAGGAGGCAGATAAACCAAGACCTTCATAGCAAAAGTCAGATTAGCTGCGTAGCTCCTATACCCAGAAATACCTATTTGGTGGGGTGATGATCAATTTCTTTATGTGTGCAAATAATACATAAAGCTGCTTGTGGTGCCTTTGTGGCAGGTCCCAGGATGCAGAGTCATGAAAGATGCAAACTTAAAAGCCTGGGTAGGGTCCTTTTTTCTAGCTCTTCCTACACTTTCTGTTGCCATCTCTGTTGCCCATAGCTTGGGCCGGCCGTAGAAGGCAGCCGAAAGGCTGCAAACAGCTGCATTGGCCTCTGGATCCCCAGCCATGCTCCATGGTGGCAGCAGCTGCACGCACTGCTCCAGGCCTCTTTCTGGCTGTGCACCCCAAGGCACACATGTAACTACTGCCTGGCCAGGCTTCTGGAGCCTGGTGCAGCTGCTCATAGCTTCTTGGCTACCTGACGTAGCCAGCCTGGGCAGCTGCAACAGGCAGCGGGAAAGCTGCAAAGAGCTGCACCTGGGTCTAGAGCCCTGGTATTCATTGACTCTGTGGCGGTGGCAGATGCATGTGTGCCTCAGGGTGCATGGCAGGGAAGGGGCTGGGGAACCGCAACCCCGGCCCCTGCCCTGCTATCTTTCGGAGGCACGCATGCACCCAGCACTAGCAACAAGAATCGGACCCCTCGCTGCTCCCCTGTCCTCTGCCTCTTGCACACCAAGTCAAAGTGTGGGTTGAGGTTGGGGTGTTTTTGTTACTCCAGCCAAAAATGTTGCTGACCGCCTGCCTTAATTCTTTTAAGTAGCTTACGTTCTGACGTATGCCATATTCCACATCCAAATACAAGCAATATAAATCAGTCTGAGATAAACGCACAATGTCTCTTCCCAACTCCAGCCCATAGGAAAAATGTCCATTTTTTAACCAACTTAGTTTTAGAATATTTAGTATGCTCATAAGTGGTCGTTAGCTTTCCCAAACAAACTCTTAATGTCTTATGCACTTTGGAAAATAGATCTTTCTTCAGCACCTTTCCACAGAACTGAAAGATAGGAAAATTATTGGCCTGTCATTTTGGCATGGTGAGATGACCCACAATGTCCACATTATTATTCTTACTTTCTCTTGAAGGTTTTTATGCCTTGTCTCCAGCAGATCACTGTGGAGCAATAAGCAGAACAGCAGTCCGTATTTGGAAGAACCAGTTCACTTGGTCCACTCTTTTTGTTTCTGTCCCAGCCTCTATCTTTATATAGTTAGAAAGCTTCTCAATTTGCACTACTCAAATTTAACGTGGTGTCATTGATAATGTGGCTGTTTTTCCCAGTGGTTAAGGACTCTGCGTTTCTAACTGAATGGTCTTCCTGCTATACAGTAACTGTGCAGGCAGCCATGTCCAGTTGAGTGTTGCGTCAGTCCCTTACTTTTGGCATGAGATATTCTGGGTGACTTTGGACTAAACAAATACAAACTGTCATTGTACAAGCAATGCTAATATGAGCTCCCAGCATTGCTATTACAATCCCTCTCAAAACATATCACGTGGCCAAAGGACTGGTGTCTGGTGGGGTGGATGGGAGGGTGCAAAGGGGAAGGATATAGCTAGAATCAAGTCTACCTTATGAAGGTACATAAGGCTTGTCCCTTGGAGTTGATTGGCTCAGACAAAACAGTGCCCATATAGCTTAGAGAGACACTGGAAATTGGTATGGAAAGATAAGCCTGTTCAGCCTTGCAAGAGTTGATTTACAATCCTGACTATTGATAGACATTATGGAAAGGCATATGCATCATAGGCCAGGATGAAGTGCTATATGAAATACAGGAAGAGAGAATATCTCCCTGCAGGTTGTAGATGGAAGAAGTACAAGGTCACTAGCAGTCCAGTTGTCTCAGTCTTCCACATGGTTCCCAGCCTGAATTTGTCTGAAATTAAATAATTGATGTTAGGCTCTTTCCGTTTGGGGGTAAAAAGAGCACTGTTTCTGGCTCTAGTCAGCCGAGATGTCAGCTGAGGTGCAAAGTGCCGCACCTAGGGAGGAAAAATGTCCAGCATACCTACTGCCTAGGAAATGACCTGCTGGGTGGCACGGAAGTGGAAAGGGATCTTGGGAGTCCTAGTGGACTCCAAGATGAACATGAGTTGGGAGTGTGACGAAGCCATCAGAAAAGCTAATGGCACTTTATCATGCATCAGCAGATGCATGACGAGTAGATCCAAAGAGGTGATACTTCCCCTCTATCAGGCGCTGGTCAGACCGCAGTTGAAGTACTGCATGCAATTCTGGGCACCGCACTTCAAGAGGGATGCGGATAACCTGGAGAGGGTCCAGAGAAGGGCCACTCGTATGGTTAAGGGCTTGCAGGCCAAGCCCTACGAGGAGAGACTAGAGAACCTGAACCTTTTTAGCCTCCGCAAGAGAAGGTTGAGAGGCGACCTTGTGGCTGCCTGTAAGTTCATCACGGGGGCACAGAAGGGAATTGGGGAGGTTTTATTCACCAAGGCGCCCCGGGGGGTTACAAGAAATAATGGCCACAAGCTAGCAGAGAGCAGATTTAAACTGGACATTAGGAAGAACTTCTTCACAGTTAGAGTGGCCAAGGGCTGGAATGGGCTCCCAAGGGAGGTGGTGCTCTCCCCTACCCTGGGGGTCTTCAAGAGGAGGTTGGATATGCATCTAGCTGGGGTCATCTAGCCCCACCCCTTTTCCCTGCCTATGCAGGGGGTCGGACTCGATGATCTATTGAGGTCCGTTCCGACCCTAACATCTATGAATCTATGAGATTATTGACCTTTCTCCAGAAGGGTGATCTATGGAGTTTGGTAAAAATTTTCAGGAAAATGTTTTGTCATGTTCCAAGTTTCCACATTCCATGGAAAAGCTTTTCAGTCTTCTCTCCATCCGGTTTCTAAGGTTGGAGAACTGGGGAGCACAGCTCTGTCTCAGAAGTCCCAAAAATTCCTGAGAGAGCTTTATTTCAGAGCTTTCCTGTTTTTACTATTGTCAAGCAATCCTTTGATATTTTTTCAGATGAACAGCAGCTTTCTTCTTTTTCCTGTCTTAAGTTATCACTTGATGTTGCATATCCTCAGGGAAGAGTGTGCTACTCTTGGTAGCAATAATATTGACTTACATAAAAAGAAAATATACTTCTCTTTCTGCAAAATCTTTCCTCTTAGGGCTCCGTATAAAGAGAAAGATGAAGGAATACAACAGAGTAACATGGTTCCTGGAATGTCCTACAATAAATTTAGATATATGGGGGGGGATATGCCTATACAGCTTTGTGAAGAACATTGCTAATTAGCCAAGGTGGAAAACAGTGTTAACATTATACTGCTTTGAGCTTTAAACCAGCTAGCTGAAGTATCAGCTTGGGCATCTCTCAGTGGTACTGCACTGTGCTTAATGAGTATATACTTAATGCTAGGGAAGCAGATGATAAGCTTAGGCTGAAGATGATTACTGCAAGACCTCATCACAGAACAGTGGTCATCAAAGGAAGACTGCCATCATGGAAAACAAGTAGCATCACAGAAACCAGATACTGTTATTGGAACCTGTTCAGAATTCTGATTTGGTGTGCAAGCATGCTTCAGTGACTGAGTGCTTATATGAAACTTACCCAGTAATTCTCTGCATGTTGCCCTGTCTTGAGATGAGCTCCAACCATGTATCCTTTGCTCCAGTAGCTGGTGAATCTAAAGGATCTAATGGTGCACTTGTTGAAGGGATCCTTAGTTCAGCAAAAGGAATTGGAAAGAACACAGCATTTCCCTAGTAAATTGAAGACTTGGTGCACTACTGTGGATAAGAGCCTCATTCTGGTAGCAACAGTCAGCTTGTCTAATGTGGTTTTCATAATAACTGTGAAAAACACAGTTGACCCTACTGCAAAGAAAAGTTCTCTTGTCCTAAAGGAAGGAAAGGTTGGTTGGTTGGTTGGTTGGTTGGGTTTTTTTGTTGCGTTTTTCCTCTCTAATGTACACTGCCCATCTAGGAGGCAGATAAACTAAGACCTTCAGGGCAAAGATCAGATTAGCTGTGTAGCTCCTATACCCAGAAATACCTATTTGGTGGGGTGGTGATCAGTTTCTTGGTGTGCAAATAATACATAAAGCTGTTTGTGGTAACTTTGTGGCAGGTCCCAGGATGCAAAGTCATGAAGGATGCAAACTCAAAAACCTGGGTTTTAGGGTCCTTTTGTAGGTCATCCTATGTTTTCTGTTGCCTTCTCAGCTTGTTCAAAATATAGGAACAAGAGCATGGTAGCAATGATATTTTTACCTTTGTAGTTGAAGGCTGGCTGAAGAGCTTGATATGTTAATATAACACTGGATCTTCAGATGTTTGCATCACAGAGAAAGCCTGCTACTGTGAGAAATCCTCTATCTGGTTCAGATAGGGTTAAAATAAGTACTTGCATGAGAAGATTATTACTCTCATGGGCCCAGAGAACAAATCAATAGAGAATACTTATTTTACTGTTTGCTCTAAAGTGCAAAGTTTAACTACCAAGTTTAAACCAGTGAAGTGTAGCCTTAAACTCCCTCAGGAAAACTCTATTGTGGCTGTGTAAGAGGTGTCCAAGGAAAAACAAGGTCACTTTGTTATAATCTCCTCAGGGAATTCAGTCTCAAAATTAAAAGCTTCCTTAAGGCATCAATTTTAACTTCACAACACCAGAAGCATGATCTTGGAATATTTTGTTTGTTGCAGTGCTACCTAGGTGTATTTCTTACCCATTGCAATAGGTTTCCCAATAGTTGCTATCATCAGTTAGTGGGTCTTTTTTTAGATATCTGAAGGTGGGGACCTTTTTTCTTTTAAGAACCAGTATTGTACTTTAAAGTCAGACAAGCAGTCTTCACAGTTGTCACAGCATTTGCTTTGCATAAATTCAAGAAACATTCCTCCTTTAAATATTTACATCTGGAAATTAGGAATATTGATGACCTTGGGGCAGAAAAAACCCCATCTTCTGTTGTGAGGAGGTCTGCTAGACTACCATCAGCTCATTAGATTCTGCATATTGGTTGTTCAGTTGTAGCCAACTCCACTTCACTACTTCTGGCAGATGTGTTTGTGTTCTCCATGTCATGGTGCTCAGGGAAGACTGAGGCTATGTTTTTCATTTGGAAGTTCATATTTAAACATAATACTGGTTCCTACCCTAGAGGCGCACTACTATAAAAATCCCATGGTAATAGGTATGTGGGTTTTGACACAAAAAAGAATGGGAAAACTTACCTCTTCTAACCTGTAAATTAACTTTGAGTGATAAGTTTGGCAGATTCTGCCCATACTATGGACAAATAGATCATCCTGATAGAGATGGAAAATTGACCTGCAGCAAGAGAAATTCCTGCATGTGTTGGTTTCTTTTTTTTTTTTTTTCTTCTCTGTTTGTTTTGGTTGGTTATTCTGGACAAGAAAAATACTTTTTACATAAGAGAACTTCCTAAATTAGCTATTTGAGTTATGCTGATTGTGGCAGATATCTCAGCTGGAGGGTACTTCAGGAATGAGGACACTCCCTTGCTGACATTGCTTGACATAAGCAAGTGCTTTTTGAAGGAATCTCTTATTGCATTAACTAATGTGGTTGGGAGAGATTTTAGACAAGCTTTTAAAGTGCTTTTTGGAAGAAAGAAGCTGCTTTTCTAGACTAGAAGAAGGGCACATTGTACCTGAAAGCTTGTCTGATATCTTTCTCCCAACCCTATAGTTAGTTCTGTAATAGGTATCTTCAGAAACCCCTTTATTCTCAAGTATTTCTTGGATCATCATGGCTACAATAGCATTCTAGACCTCTACTACAACATTGTATGACATGTCTAGTTTTTCCTCCAGCCAGCAAGCTTGCTGGAGGCACCTGTTATAATTGATCTGTGGACCTTATTATTCAAAGGCCAGAATTTTTCTAATAAATACAAGTAATTTTTTCTGTCCTGGCAAGATGAACATTAGGATTGGGATAACTAGTGAGATTCTTTAATAGGGTGTAAAAGGTGAGTGCAAAACTATATTGGGTAGTTAAATGTTAACCCAAAGGTAATACAAAAACCTTCCTCATTGACAATTGCAGATAAAATGTCCTAAATTGCCCTACTTGATAAGCATTTGTTTTGCTTACAGTTGAGAATCGAGTTCGTCCATTAGTACTCGTTGTTAAGAAGTGGGCAAATTTTCATGACATTAATGATGCCAGTCGTGGTACTTTAAGCAGCTATAGTCTTGTGTTGATGGTTTTGCACTATTTACAAAGTAAGTATTCTTTTAGTTTTGAAAATTGTCTTTTTTTTTTTTTTAAACAGCATATATTGTGTCATTTTAAAAGTATTTGTATAGATTTTCTTTTTTCTTACATGTAACATTAGCTAGTATCCTGTACCTGATGGAAAAAGCAGAGGATAAAGTAAAATTTATTCTTATTCCATTTTCTTAGTGTTTTCTCTGATGTAGCAAGGGTGGACCTGTTCTCTGGAGATGTATATTCTCAGTAAAAATGTACTTCAACCTTGTGTGCTTTACAAAGTAAACTCAAGCTCAGCATAAACAAATCTACTTATTGTAAAGGGGAGAAAAGATAACCGTCCCTTCATTTTTTGTGTTCAGAATCTTCTCCAAAGGCTTCTAAGGGGGGTTGTGTGGTTGGGTTGTCTCTGTTCTGATATCCCAAGAACAGAACAACTGGGGCAGGTTTGAATTCTGGCATACATAGCTCAAGACCACAAAGTTTCCTAACTACTATCTTTTTCATGAAGACACTGGTGTATTCCCAGTGAGCGTGAACAACTGGGATGCGTAGACTTCCACAGCTTTTTTTTTTTAGTGCAGTTTTGTATTGGATGTTGAATGTATGTCTTATTTGGAAAAGCTTTATGCAGTAGAGTTGAAACTCCTTGTTGAAGATTGTCCGATTCAGTGAATTTTTTTATAAATGTAAAGACTAAACTCAAGTTCTAATTACTTTATCCCCTTGAACATAGTTTGTTTTGTTAGAGGAGTCCCTATGTATCTTCTCTGAAATTGCCCTTCCTACTTTGGAGTTTTGAATCTGTATCAAATCAGTGTTTCACCTCATTCTGTATCCCATCTTCCAACAAATGTTTCAGAGAAAATTGCAGAAAACCCTGAAGCATGTACGTTTAATAAAGTAACTCACCCGCACATATTTTTTGTAATGCCATTAGAAGTTGATTTATGCCCTAGAATCTTCGGTTTGCAAGAGACCTCAAGGATCATCTGTTTCAATTCCCCTAGAAATATAAATGTTACTTCCAAACTTAATTTCTTTCTAATGCAACTCTGAATACGTCTGTTAGCTATTTAAGTATCCAGTCTTTTTTTCAATCCTACCATGCTCATCTGCGGCCATGAATGACAAAATTTATGAGTAAATGGTGTGTGAATATTCACTTTGTCATCAGTTCACTGTTTTTCAGTTTGCCGAAGTTTTATTTTCTATAGATAGATCAGATGGCTAATCACTTTGGCCTTGAAGCTAGCTCTTCAGCCCATTCCACATAGCTAATTGCTTAAATACCTCTGGAATACTGTTGCTGCAAGTTTTTTTTATGTCAATTTAGCAAATTATCAAGAAAAGCTATTTTGATCCTATTTTATAGTGCATCGTCTATAAGTATAGTAATTGGAAGGTGTATGCCACTTTCCAGAACAGCCATGGTAGGTTACCTTTCAATTCTGTGGTGTCAAACTGTGTGCCTATTATTAATGTTTAGCCAGAGTTGTTAGGCACTTAATGTAAGATTTAATCTGTCCTACTATGACTATCTGGTGTTGTGGTATTCTCTGAGTTTCTTCAAAGGTGTCTATGGAAAGAAAGTAAGTTCAGGTTTCAGTGTTTACATGCTTGTGGAAAAATATTAAGGACAAATACATTTATTTTTCTGCCTGCTTAATGCAATTAAGCAGTTAAAAACTAGTTGGATAGGCAGCATGTGATTAGCTAACTCCCATGAAGTACCAGCAATCCATCACTGTTGTTTGGTAGGCTTTTTACCTATGTAATATCAAGTTGCTGTGCTGAAAAGGGTGAGATGAGCATCTAGATATACACATAGCTACCAGCTGTTTTGTCTTCCTAATGTTTTATTACTATAATATTAACTAGTTCATCACCACCAATGGCATGGGAGTTCTGTTAACAACTTATCTTGCCTAATTTTATACTTGCACTGTAAATTA